CACTCCCTTTTCTTTAATGTAATAAAAGCTTCCTTCACAGCAGGACAAATTTATGCCCGAGATACAGCAACTTAGTGGCTGGTAATTCTCGAGTCCAGCGATGTCAAATAATCCAGCTTTTCTGGGCTGTGTGGGGAAATAAAAGCAGCCAAGGGGTACAAGTCCCATGTTTCTCTAGCATGCAACGTTAGCGAGAGGGATTTTTTTTGTTTTAATGAGGAAAAAAAAGCGCCAGCATTTATTTGCATTGCAAAAGCACTACCCCGAGTTGCCAGAGAACGAGATCCAGTGTCAGCTATCAGTCAATCACTGCAGACTAGTTGCTGCTGCGCAGCTTGGCTCAGTAAATAAAAAATCCAGACAAAACTGTATGCTGTATATTTTACTCCCATGAAATAAAACACATTTTTTTTTTCATGTTTGCTGAAAAGTAAAACAATAATATTGTACGAAATGTTATACACAGGGCATGTTTTACATTGCAATATCAGAAACATCATTGCATCCACCAGAGGTACTATTCTAAAACTGATATTCACACAATTTTTTTAATAATTATATGTTAGAAACATACAGTGTCGCATTTAGTATATACATTCCCTTGCTCGCAAGCGAAAAAGTCCTAATCGCTTCTGTGTAACATGCTTTATTTTAAAGCCTAACCTTTTAAAAACACTGTTGTGATATTACTAACAACTGCTTTTATAAAATTAATTTGACATTTCGATATATATACATCCTTTCAGTCATTTTTATGTTAACAATGCTAAACTTAAAAAATAACAAGCTTATAGTAACATTAAAATGTCATATCATATCCAGTCAAACATTTGTCCATATATATATATATATATATGTCCTTGTAACTGTTGAAATACTCTTAGTGAAAGAAAGATCTCAGAATTTGTAGGAGGTCCTTTGAAAACAAAGGAACTATCTTATTTCAGTGGTTTCCTCTTTTTTTTTTTTTCTCTCCTCTCTTTCTCTCTCTCTCTCTCTCTCTCTTCCTCTGATTTTTCCTCCTTTCTCTTTCTCTCTAGTGCCCATTACTTTCTAGCGAAATTCTCAGTCTCTGCGGGAAATGGGGAGGGATTCCCACGCAGTTTTCTACTTGGATGTTTCACACGGGTCTGTCCACCGCATACTGGCAAGCGCTCAGGTTGGAAGCGGGGTTCTGCACACTGGCATAGCCAAAACTGGAGTGCTGCTTGGCTTTAAGTCTCAGACTCGCCAAGCTCGAGTTACATGTGTCCCTATAAACATACGGAGGTGTCGGAGGAGCATAAGGACAGGCTGGCGTTGGCACTGCAGAATTCAGGGAGGGATTGCTCAAGTTGTTCAAGTTATTCAGGCTGTTGAGGCTGGAGCCGGGCACCCCGGTGACTGCAGAAGGTACCATGCTTGAAGACATACTCATGGAGGATATGGAGTTTGGAGGGGAGAACATGCTCTGAGAAGACAGAGGGTTGACATTCATGGAGTTGAAAAAAGGAAAGCTTTTGGTGGAGAGGGAAGCGGAGGTCAGGCCCTTGGCTGCCCAGTTGTTGTACGAGTAGCCGGGGTACATGTCATCGTAGGGCTGCATGAGGCCATTAAACTGCGGACCGAAGCCGTTTTTGCAAAGCTCGGCTTGCTGGTTCCTTTCTCTCTTTCTCCATTTGGCTCTGCGGTTCTTGAACCAAACCTTTGGAAACGGGGGGAGAGGGAGGGAGGGAGATGCGAATTAGTCAGGATCTACTATCACCACCACCGCAACCCTTTGCAGGTTCTCGGGGCAACAGCCGAGCCTGTCCGTGTAGAAGTCATATATGAAAGTTTGTACGAATATACATATAGATATGAATATATCTCCATGTATAGGTTCACCTCCTCCTCTGTGGAGCCCTGCACTGGGCCGAGGCAGGGGTGCGCTGCCGGGACAGCCGAGCATCCTCGGGGCCGCCCGGGTTTAGCAAGGCAGACTCGTGGCCGCATCATTCCACCCTCACCACGGCCCCCCCACTCCCCCTCCCAGTCCCCCCCGCAGCTCTCCACATAATTTGTGATGCTCTAATTCGGGCCACGGAGGCTAAAGCTTCCTTCTTATTCTCTCCCTCCTATGCTGCCGCCCCTTCATTCCTCTCTTGGGGATTTTTCCCCCCCTCCCCTTCTCTTGGCTTTTTCTGTACTGCAGCCATCCAGGAAAAATACAAAAGCGCAAAAGCGAGAGTAAAACGCTTGGAAACCCGCGGAATATTTAAGCCGATAGTACGGGAAAGGAGTGGGGAAGCCAGCAACTAATAAATCCTTGCTTCAGTTTGTTAAATCTACAAGTTCCTCTAGCGTGAAAGCTTCCAGAACCGAAAACCACTTTCTAAACAAACTTGTTCGACTGCTCTTTGGAGGGGGGGGAATAATAGGGAAAAAAAAAAGAGTAAAAAACGAAAAAGAAAAAAACCCACCATTTAACAACGTGCTAAATGAGATCTAAGGGACCCTCCCCGCGCAGACAATGGAAAAACGTGCCCTTTCCCAATCCACATCTGGGTGTCTGACCCGTCGGGCAGCCGCCAGCAGCCGCCTTACCGTGTGTATTGAAACCAGCCCGGGGTGTTTGTGGTCACCCCCACGCTGGTCCAGCCGGGCGGGGGCCGCCCGGGCACCACGGGGACGGGCCCGTCTGGCGGAACCGCTCGGACCCAAACAAAACCTTCCGAGAAAGCGGCTCCGTGCTCCGGGAGGACACCGGGCTCGGCCGGGCCCCGCTCCTTCCTCGAGCCTGCCCCGGCGCCAACACCGCCGGACAGGGGCTGAGAGCCGGCCCCGCTCCCCCGGTTCTCACTGCCTCGCTTTCCTCAAGCCACCTCAGGGAGAGGATTTCTGTGGGAATTCCGAAAATATGGAGATTCGGCCGCTTTACAGGCTTCTTTTTGTGCGCGTTGGGGTTTGTTGTTTTTCTTTTTTTTCCCCCAGCGCGGCGTTTGCAGGCGAGCAGGATCCGGCCGCGGTATCTCTGCAGCGCCGCGATGGTCTCATAAATCTCACAGGGGGGTAGAGGGTGGAGAGAGACGCTCGTCGAATTGTGAAACCCAAAGAAATAGAAAATGCAAGGAAGGGCACGTTGGGAGTGCCTCGGAGTGAAGCAAAAGCTCTTGTGTATTTTACATCTTTTTCTCATTAGAGACAGCGCAGGTTGCAGCCTGTTCCAAGTCGCTTTCTTGGCTAATGTTTTCATTAGCGTTTCGATCAAAAGGAGAGGGACGCATTGCACGGTGAGGGCGAAACGTGCAGCAAACCATATTTCAGAGACACAGAGAGAGATCCCAATCTGTCTCGCTTTGACAAAAATGTCCTGCTCTGCCCCGCTTTTGTGCAAAGGCTCCGAAGTTTACATAGAAGGCGAAATCGAAAGCAGCTGCAAACATTTCAGCCCTCCCTTCCTTTCCCAACCCACCCCGACCCCCGCTGCTCCGAGCCGGAGTGTCAGGACTTACCCTAACCCTGGCCTCGGTGAGGTTGGTCCAGACGGCGATCTCCTCCCGGGTGGACATGTCCGGGTAGCGATTCCGCTGGAAGGTGGCCTCCAGCTCCTGCAGCTGCTGGCTGGTGAAGTGAGTCCGCTGCCGCCGCTGCCTCTTCTTCTTGGAGGGGTCCTCGGGCCCCGCATCCTCATTCTTGCTCTGTTGGCTCTTATCCTTCTCTATGAGTGGGGGAAACAAAAAAGAACAAGGCGGAAAACGAAGGCGCCTCAGCCTCCTCTGCCTCCTCTCCAGCGGCTGGGGAAAAGCGTGTCCCCAGCGCTGCTGGATCCCGCAGACTGCCCCGAACGCGACTCGACGCTGGAATGAATGATTAACCCGCGCCGGCCTCCC